CATCTGGGGTAAACTTGAGTCCCAGAAGTAAGGATTGTACTTGAGAATATATCTGTACATTTTAGCAGGTAAAAATTCAGGGTCTGCTGATGTGATGATGAAATATTACTAGATTGGTTTTTGGAGGTATCGTCTTTTTACGAGTCCATTTCCTGCCACTCTCATTGAGCTGTTAGGGTAAGATCAAAGCAGAGATTAGCTGCCATGCTATTAGGTATGAAAAAGAAAAATACATATTTATCTCAAAAAAAAAAAAAAAAAAAAAATGAAAAATGAACACATATACAGGTAGATGTCTATAAAGAGGTAGCATAGATTTTTGGAATTTAGAATTTGTTGAAATGATCCCAGTAAATTAAGGGTCAGCAACCCCTAGCCTGTGGGCCACATCCAATCCATGAAGGATTTTTGTCCCACAACTTTAGCACCTGGATACAAATTATTTAATTAATTTGTGGTGTAAGTGACAGAAACATATCAGTTGGAGTTAATCAACTTACAATGCAATGAATTTTTAAAATTAAAATGTAATTGCACTCCATTGACTGACTTCTACAAGAAATATGTTTTGCCAAGCAGAAAATATAAAAGCCTATTGAATGGTATTATTATTTGGAAGTACATATGCTTGTGAATAACCTTCTCGAACAAGGTTGGGTGATGACCACCTGAATGATGTTTTGCTCCTGTTACCAACAAATATTTCACCTGATGTGGAGAAGTTATCGAACAATAAGCAGAAACAAGTGTCTCATTTAATAATTTGCCATTTTTAGCTGTATTTCATTTGTAGTAAGGAATCTGCATTTTTTGTTGATTGTGTTAGTGTTATTCTGTTATTCCTGAAATAAAGAAACTTGTTTAAATAATATAACATAAGCTTTTTCTTTAAACCTACAGACCAAGGCAGTCTTCTGGACATAGCAGTCAGGGGTCGATACAAATCATTATAGTAAATTTGAAATCATGGCCCTCCTCCAAGAGATGGCATAGCTTTCAGACCCTCTCACTCCAAAATGTTGCCAACCCCTGCAGTAAATTATGCAGTCTAATAATATCTGGTTTAATATAATCCTGAACAGTTTAGAATGGTGTTTCATTATTTCCTCAAAATCTAGTACATGTAGATATAGAGACACTTTGATCATGTATTTTTAAAAGATTCTTTTATATATTAGTCAGGTCAATGTTGGAGGATATTGACTGAGATTTGAACTGGAGAGGGATGGGCTTTGCTAGACCTTCTTACCCAAGACAAGCTATACATGAATGAATAACTTTCTGGCTTTCAACCTAGACATCTGCAGGCTTACGGCCACATCATATTGAAACACTGGTTCTATACTGGGACCTCAGAGGGTTAATCAAACAAAAAAAAAAAGGGGAAAGGAAATACACTACAAACTGGATGATAATTGTTGAAACTCACAGGAAAGTAGATTGAAAAATTGAAGGAAATTAAAAAAAATGTGTTGAAAAATTAAATTTCAAAATAATGAAATGAAATCCCGAATGGTTCCAAAGAGAATTAAATCCAGATTAACTAGATAGAATTTAGTATCTGTCTATATTTCTGAGATGAGGTATTATGTACACTATTTACATTATTCAGATTATGTCCTCATCTTTGTCGCCATTTTTATTAAAACGTTTTGGCCGTTGTACACTCCAGCCTTCTTCAGGTTGTTGGAATGTCGAACTGAACCCTTTATTTCACTCACTGGAGTAGACTGTTCTAGTTCCACATGACACAGTGGATAAAGGCATTAGTTAGACCCAGTGACAGGACCCAAAGAGTGTGAGTTCAATACCTGGTTAAGGCAGTGGAAAACTTGGAGAGGGGAATTAACTGACAACTGACATCCATTAAACATTGCACGTAGAACTAGAACAGTCTACCCCAGCAAGTGAAATAAAGGGTTCAGTTCGACATTCCAACCACCTGAAGAAGGCCGAAACATCATAATAAATATGGCAACAAAGATGAGGTCAATAGTCCGAATAATGTAAATAGGGTAGGCAGAATTTAGTAAGATAGAGCAAACCAAGACTACCCATCCTTCCCAACTTCCTGCTAATAAGGAGGGGACAACTAATGTGTCCTCAAAAATGTTGGTCCTGGAAAATAGAAAAACATGTTGTCGATAAAGAAACCCAGGTAGTCACCGAAATAAAATTTAAGATTGTTCTGGACAATGAATCAGGAAAAACATCTGGTCTGAATTAGCCACATCTCTACAAAAATAGAGATTAATGCCTAAATATTAGGGACTGGTTCCTTCATTTTAATTTCGGTGACATTTGTCAAAAAATTTTATGGCTGACATTATTTCAGATTCCTTTGGATACAAGTGATAAATAAAAATTAATTACTAGCCTGGAGTGACTATAGATGGTCAGCTGTGTGGCCTGGTCGATCAAGAAATTAGCTAAAAACAACCAGCTTGAGATAAACTGATAAAGAAATATTAATGGCTGGAAATCCTTTTTTTGCCTACACATTCTGGAAATTTGGATTTGTCACAGAAACAGTGTGCTGGCCCTTGGAGGTGGGTGAGGATGAATGCTGAGAAAGTGGGAGAAGGAAGATAGAGATTAGCATTGCCTATATGGCACAATAGTGCGAGATGAAACATGAATGGAGTTGGAGTTAAGGGGTGGCTTGATACTTTTGACCACTTTGAAATGGGCACTAGAGACCTCCTAAATTTGGAAAATTACTCAAGTAAACACATTTTGAAAATATGGAATTTTAGCAAATGGTTGATGCTATGGGTGGAAGATAACCAAACCCAGATGCTGGTCAACCCCACCCCTTCTGGATGCAGAACTCTATATAAGCTGGAAGTTTGGACAACTTGGAGAGTCCTCATATTACTGCTACTAGAACGTATATCAGGACTCGAGAACACCCACCCAATATGATGTTGTGAAAAGTTTTTTGTCTTTTCATTTTAACAATCATTCTTTCACCTGCTAGTTCTCAAAACTTCATCAAAACGTCTCAAAGGTCTACAGTGAGTTAAGAAAAACTAAGTCTTCTATATGCTCTCTTCAGCATGTGGGAGATCATGGCTCTCCACAATTTCTATCCTTTGTAATTCTTAGTAAGGTTTGTCTTTTTACTATCACTTCTAGTCCCTGCTCTTCAATCCATTTGTCAAAGCTTGTTAGGTAGGTTACTCATTGTTTTTTTTCTGTCCTGTAAGAGAATACTTGGACTCAGTGGAAAGGGCTGAGCAATAACTGAGCAGTACTAAAAATAAGTACTAGACGGCATATCCCTAGCCATGGGAAGTAGAATGAGAACACATTAGATTAGAGATTAAATAAAGGGTTCAGGTTGGAATTTCCTGTCGGTTAACCAGATCAATGTTCACCTGATGAAGGCCAGAGAGAACAACAACTGAAATGTTGTAATAACAGCAACAAAGATGAAGATAATAGTTCCAATGTATATAGTGTAAATAACTTACAGAAAATTCAGACAGATTTTTTTATTTTTTTTTAATTTTATGTGTGATATTTAAGGAAAAATATAAAAATGATTATTTCAAGCTTGTCAAACATTTCCAGTGATTCCCATATCAGATACCATAATTACTTTTCAGGGCACCAGAGAATTTTGAAAATTTTAATAATTCCAGACAATAGTAATTTAGTTCTTTGATATTTCATTCAAAAGATAGGAAGTGACATTTAATTAGCACCTCATGAATCACTCTGTTCATCTTGCATTGAATTTTACAATTTCAACACCAGATTGCATTCCGTTGATAGATATAACTAATATTCACTCGCCTTTTTTTTTTCTTTTTCTTTTTTTTTTAATCTTGCCGTTATTTACCGTTTTATTTTCCATGTACATAAATGACTTAAGATTATCTTCAGCTTCATTGAAGATTGAATCTATTGTATGGGAAAGGATGAAATATAAGTTTTGGGCACTATTTAAAACTAACTCCTCAAGCTTAGTCATTACCTAGATAAGAGACTGCTTATAAATACCAGGTGCTGTAACCATCGATGTGAGGGTAGTGTAATAGATAATGGCTCATAATTGTTAATCAGAGAGGAGGTTCAAATTCTAATCAAGTTTGTTATATTCATTTATTCACAAATAACCTTGGGAAAAGTATGAATCCATCTCTTTTCCCCATAGCTATGGATTAATTAGTAACACTTGTATCACTAAATCATTATTATACAAAGAAAAAATTCTTAAAATCTAAAAAATATCTTCTGGCTTTAAATAACCTGCAAAGTGTTGATAAGCCATAAAAATCAAATCAGTCACCTAAATTAACTTGTTTGCTTCTTTTTTAAACATTTTTTGTAGATTCAGTATACCTTCGTGTGTGACATTTATAAAAATAAAAAAATATTGATTTTTTTTTTTTTTTTTTTTATCATTTTAGAAAGAGGGTCCTGTTTATAATATAAATACATTGTTGAATTGATCCCTGACCTTTTTTTTAAAGATTTGTTTTTATTTGTGAATATCAAGTTTGAAACCTGATTTTTATCATTGGTAACGATATACTACTGTTGTTGTCCTCCCCCCCCAATTCATAATTGGCTGTCAATGATGTAAGCAGTTTCAAACTTGATATTTTTAAATAAGGATAAAGTACAGGTAAATATTTAAAAATATTTTTAAATAAGGATAAAGTACAGGTAAATATTTAAAAACTCTTCTTGTTGTTTTTGTTTGTTTTTTTTTTCTACTGGTTAATTTAAGTGATTGATTTATTTGGTTTCTATGGCATATTAACGTTTTGCAGAAAAAGGTTGATAAACCAGAAAATATTTTTAGATTGTAAGAATTTTTTTGATATAACAATGATTTAGTGATACATGTGTTACTAATTAATCCATAGCCAGGGGTAGAAGGGATGGATTCATATTTTTCTCTAGGGTATTTGTGTAAAAGTGAATATAATGAACCTGATTAGAATTGGAGCTCTCCTCCCCGATTAACAATTCTGAGCCATTATCCCTTGCAGCACCTGGTATTCCCAAACGGTCACCCATCTAGGTACTGAACAGTCTGAATATTGCTTAACTTCAGTGATTGTACAAAGGCCAGTGTTTTGATGTGATATGGCCATAAGCCATCTCTACTGATGTTTAATTGTGTGTGTGTGTGTGTGTATATATATATATATATATATATATATATATATATATATATATATATATATATATAAATATAAATAAAAAAAAGAAAGAACAGTAAGATATAAAATCCGGTGTTCTTATAGATATTTTATTTTTACAAAATAGTGCTCAATGTAAATTTACAGAGCATTAATATTATAAATTAAGCGAAAATAAACATATTTTAAATCAATTAATTTATATATATATATATATATATATATATATATATATATATATACACACACACACACACACACACACACAACATAGCTTTTAAGGTATGTTATCTTTTTGGGAGAAAAGTGCTTATTGTCAGAGCCAGAATGTATGTAAATTTATTTTGTATATTATTACTTTAATATCAAACTATTATTGCTGTCAAAGTGGATTGTTTGTATTAAGATTGTTAAAAATGCTTTTTTTTTCTATATTTTTTCCATATTTTTCTGTATTTTTAGTATATTGATCCATTTTTTTATATTTAGTACACTAGCATATTCTTCAGTTTTGCTTAATGTATACTTCAAATAAAACTGAAAATAAACCAATCTACTAAAAATATATTCATACATAGGATAGGCAGATAGGGTATTGGTTAGTGACACTGAAAGAGAAATCAGAAGGCTGTGTTCAAATATCAGTTGTTTTGTTACTTTAACTTTCTCACAAATACCCATGTGAAAGGTATGAATCTGTCTCCTCTCTCTCTCTCTCCAGTTAAAGGTTAAATGGAAAGTGTCCCCGTTAAAAACCCACAGGCGTTATTTCTAAAGTGTCCCCCGTTAAAATCCCGCAGGCGTTATTTCTAAAGTGTCCCCCGTTAAAATCCCGCAGGCGTTATTTCTAAAGTGTCCCCCGTTAAAATCCCGCAGGCGTTATTTCTAAAGTGTCCCCGTTAAAATCCATGGCGTTATTTCTAAAAGTGTCCCCCGTTAAAATCCGCAGGCGTTATTTCTAAAGTGTCCCCGTTAAAATCCAGCAGGCGTTATTTCTAAAGTGTCCCCGTTAAAATCCAGCAGGCGTTATTTCTAAAAGTGTCCCCGTTAAAATCCATGGCGTTATTTCTAAAGTGTCCCCGTTAAAATTTCTAAAGTGTCCCCGTTAAAAATCCATGGCGTTATTTCTAAAAGTGTCCCCGTTAAAATCCATGGCGTTATTTCTAAAGTGTCCCCGTTAAAATCCATGAGGCGTTATTTCTAAAAGTGTCCCCGTTAAAATCCATGGCGTTATTTCTAAAGTGTCCCCGTTAAAATCCATGGCGTTATTTCTAAAAAGTGTCCCCGTTAAAATCCCGCAGGCGTTATTTCTAAAGTGTCCCCCGTTAAAATCCCGCAGGCGTTATTTCTAAAGTGTCCCCCGTTAAAATCCCGCAGGTGTTATTCCTAAACTATTCTCTGAAAGAAGAGCTTCAATATTTTGAATATTTGTAATTTCATGATGAAATTTATCTGAAGAACATTCTTTTTTCCTGACTGCAATATTGCAAACATAAAATTGTATCCACAAAAAATATTTTAGAAAAACATCTGGTCTTTTTGTTTACTTTGTCATGTAATCCTGTTTTTACTGCAGGTGTCTGCCTCGCCAACATAACAGGATTTTTCTTTGCATTGTCAATTAATCAAATATTGTTTCTTTCTGCAAGCGTGATATTAGTTATTTTCATACTTTCTGTACTAAGGGACAAGGTTTTTATTTTATGGAAATATAAAAATGACTGCATGTCCAAACATAGAAAGGTAGGTGCTGAAAAGTTTTTGGTCTGACCCCTTTCCCAAAATTGGACTAAATGACCAAACGTCAGATTTTTTTTTTTTTAAATATCTTCTTGGTAAGGCTTAGAAGTTTTTAACCTCACCCCCAGTATAGGCGCAGAAAAGCAAGTACACACATAAGTGCAAGAATGCGAGTTTCTGTGCAAACAAAACTTTTCTGTTATTAACAAAGACGAGTAATTCAAGCATTTCAAGTCAGAGAAAAAGATTTTAATATCACAGGTTGGATTTTAGAACTTCCCATCCCTTGACTGATTACGTAGCTCATTCTGGTGATAAGGGAAAAAATGAAATGGATATTACGGCTGTATGTCAGTTTTACCTTATGTAAACAGGAAATAGGCGATCATGGCTCTCCACATCATCAATTCATTTGATTGGTTTGGTTTGTTTTACAGCATATCAACCTCAATTTGTTATTTAATGCCGACAAGATTTTTATTGCTAGTAATATTTTTTTTCTTCAAAAATGTATTTCTGGTAATATTTTTTCAAAAAATGTGTGTCCGGTAATATTTTTTTTCTTCAATAATCTATTGTTGGTAATAAATTTGTTCTTCAATTTCTTATTTTTACACTTCCATAGTTTTTTGACCACAGTTTGGGATTAACTATTTGTCCATAGCTGGGACCCTAACAGGTGCTACCACTAGGAGTCAAGTTGGACCTGAGAACACCAGCAATTAATAGGTGGTTTCACACTCCTCAAAGTCTCCTGAACAGAGGTCTTGCTGTTGGATGTAGTTTATCGTCATGCCCAGGACACACTTCATTCGAATTAGGAGGCACGGTGGAGTAATGGATAGCGGCTTGGATTGAGGAATCGGAGAGCCGAGTTCGAATTCCAGTCGAGTCCATTACATTCACTTACATGCTAACACCCTTGGGAAAGGTGTGAATCCTCTTTCTTCTCCTTCCAGCTATGGGTAAATAGCAGGACAGACTGGGTTCTATAGCCTTGGATAGCAACTGGTCTAGGAGAAGGAAAACTCTGAATTCAAACCTGCTCTTAGAGGAGGGTGAATGGAGTCGCTCTGAGCCTTGGTTGGCAATCCATTTAGTGTTGGTGTCACGATAAAAACACCCTTGATAGCCCTAGCAAAGCATCAAGAATTCAGCTACTTGACAAGATTATGAACTACACCAATCAAAGTATTGGTGAGTTCAATCTCGGCTGAGGCCGCAAGATGATGATCATTCGAATCTATCATACATAGACAAGGTTTCAACTTGTATTTAGTCTTGCCCACTAATTATAGTAAAGTTATTATTTTTTTTTTAGCCCAATACAAGGCTTGAGAGCCACTCAAGGTAGTGGGTTACTGAATGAGAGGTGTGTAGATTATGAAGATAAAGTGGATAGTTAATGATTGACTCTTGAAATGAAGAGGCTAAGTTTGTGCAAAAAGTAAATATTTTTTAGCTGTAAAGAAAAACATGAAGTTTAACCATCGAGTTATCTAGATGCATGACCATTTAGGAATATCAGGTGCTGTAAGCTTGGATGTGTGGGTGGTGTAATGGATAAGGATTTGGAATTGTTAATCAGAGTGCCAAGTTCCAATTCCTGTTGGGTTTGTTATATTTACAAATAGCCTTGGGAAAGCTATAAATCCACCTTAGTAAGGCGTGTTTCACCAAATCATTATCTCAGCAGACAAAAAGAACTCTTACCATCTTAAAATATTTTCTGACTTTAAATAACCTGCAAAGGGTTGATAAGACATAAATGAATCGATCAAGTATTCAGGTACGCAATCTTGGATGTAAAATGGTTTTCTGTCTGGATTTCTAGAATGAGAATTTATCATTATTTACATTTTGACTAATATTTTGATCTTTGTTGTTATCCCATTTCAGTTTTTGGTCCTTCCAGTCTTTTCCAGATGTCTGAAATAGACACCTGAAGAAGGCCTGAGGACATAATGACCAAAATGTTGCGATAAATAACAAATATGAGTCCAAATGTAAATAATCTAATATTTGTTTATTTTTGCAGTTTCGGACCTTGTTTTCTGCATTGACCATGAGGTAAACAAAAGAATTAAGGAATATGTTTAATACATGTCTGGACTTGGTTCTATTGATGCCAAAAATATCTTAAAAATTCTTAGCCTTTATTGTAAATATTTCTTTTTCATGCTCAATGTAAAATGGTCATTTCAGGAAAACTAGTATCACTAATAACTGAATTGATAGGTGGTAAAGGTAGGATCTTTCATTTTTATGTAAACAGAAAGTTAAGATATATAGATATTTACTAAATTTATTCTAATCTATCATGGGGTTAAGTTTTTGTTTATTTTCCGATGGGATTGAACCCACTACAGTAGCATTAAATCAGTCATCCTACACATATACACACACTCTGTTTTGTGTGAAAAAGGAAATTTGCTTCTGACCCACAAAGAAAAATGCTGTGACACAAGTAATTTAATCGAGTCTCACCTATAATTTTTGTTTCCCTTGACTCCACAATTTTTCAAGTTTCTCTCTTTTCTTTTTTTTTTCTTTTATTTTTATTTGTGTGTGTGTTTCCACCTCCATTTTATTTAGGGCTTCCATCTCTTGTCAACCAGACATTTTTTTTTAGTTTTTAATTTAGGTTTCTCTGTCAATCACATTTTTGTGATGGATCCTCTCTCTCTCTCTCTTTTTGTTGTTTGTTTTACATTTTCTTCTGTATTTTTTTTTCTTTTTTTTTGCTACTCGCATTCAGTCTCTCTCTCTCTCTCTCTCTCTCCTATATTTTTATCTGTCTCTCTGGCCTTTGTTGTTTCTTCTTCTCTCACTCTTTCTTTACATTTTCCAACTTTCTTTCTGTCTTGTTCTCCTTTATTTATGTCCGCTTGACAAGAATTTATTCAACTGATTTGATTTATCAAATGGCGTCATGCTTTCTGACCTTTTCTTTGCTCAGGAATTCAAGTAGGAGGTTTCTCACTATGAATCTTAATCTTTTTTTTTTTTTTTTTGTTAACATCCCCACCCCCAAACAGGTTTGGTGACTAAAAAAAAAAATATTTTCCAATTTGTTTTTTTTTTTTAAAAAACTTATTTATTTCATTAATGACAATATTTTTTTTTTTTTTTTCAAAAATAATGTGTTGATGATTTTTTTTTATTTGATTTTTTTTAATACAGTGCTTAAATTTTTTTCTATTGCAATTTTCTTGGAAAAAATTTTTTTTTTTTTTTTTTTTTAATATTTGATAAAATCCAATAATAATATTATACCAACAAGGAGGATAGAATAAATAAAATTGTATCAGATTTTGAAATTCAAATGAATCAACCAGTTTAAGCTGCAAGATCAGATGTAATCATTGTAAACATGAAAGAATATCATGAAAAAGTAGTTTTACAAACCCAGCCGAGCCCAGTCAAACTGAAACTATCTGGGGAAAATATTAAGAACTTGCCAGGGGAAAATAGATACATTATAAAGAAGCAATAATCATTAGTCTTTCCATGATAAGAACCTTTACAAAAAAAAATTGTAAATATAGTTTTTAAATAGGAATTGAAATTATCTAAATGGCAGTTCTACTAAAATCAGCTCAAAATATTCCTGATATGAAATTTCTTTTATAATTTTATAATGTGAAGGCAAGTGAGAACTTGGAAAAAAAAAAAAAAAAAAAGGACCTTGCCTGGGAACCAAGAGATATGAAGACCAGACATTCCCTTAATAATAGGAACACTTTCAACTGTACCCAAAATGCTAGAATTGAGAAAGGATGAGTTTGAAATGATGAAGACTGTACAATGTATCTTAACATAAACAAATGACATCACACACTACGAAATGGACTAAGTCTGGCAATTATTTTAATATATTTTATTGTTATACGTTATTTATATAGAGTATTAACTCCTTCTCCCCCACTTGGATGAGATGTGACACAAGGTCTTTTTTTAGGTGGGGACCCGAGCGCATTATATATATATATATATATATATATATATATATATATATATAGAGAGAGAGAGACACAAATATTTAAGTAAATGCTCTATTTATAAACAGTATTAACAACATTTGCCAGCCTGTAAATAGTAATAGTTCTCTGTGGTGGTTAAATGAAAGTTACCCCAGTCAACCACTGATTAGAGGTCCTTTTTAAGAGCAGTTGCTAGGTTGACTTTGTCAGCACTGTCAGATATGCTACTAAGACTGGTGTCAATGGTTGTGTCATCTACATAAATGCCTAGTTGGGAACTGATAACATTTGAGAGGTCATTGATGAAGATCAGAGACAGCGTAGGTCTCAGGATAGACCCTGAGAGAACACTCACCTTAGTGTAAAAAAAAATCTGAAAGTGAACCTATTCAACATGACCTTCACTCCACGATTTGTTAGGAATGATTGGATTAATCCAAATATTTTTCTTTGTCCTGGGTATGATGATAAACTACATCCACATAAGACATTAAACTACATATGACAGTAAGACCTCTGATCAGGAGGCTTTGAGGAGTGTTGAACCACCTTTTAATTGCTGGTGTTCCTGAGTCCACCCTGACCCAGACTGAAAGCACCTGTTAGGGTTCCAACTATGGGCAAATAGTTGAATCCCAAATGGGTCAAAATCGCAGTGGAGTTATAAAAATTAATACCAGCAATACATTTTTGAAAAATTATTACCAGAAATGCAATGTTGGGGAAATTTTTTTACTAGCAATACTTTTATTAAGGAAAAATTATGAACAGCAATACATTTTTGGAAAAATATTACTAGCTATACACTTTTGGAAAATATTCTCAGCAATACATTTTTGGAAAAATATTACTTGAAATAGATTTTTTGAAGGAAAAAACATTAGCAGCAATACATTTTTAAAAAAAAAAAAATTACCTGCAACAAAAATTTTGTCGGCATTAAATAACCCATTGAGGTTGATATATTACAAACCAAGTCAAATATTCGTCCCATGAAACCGTAGCTCTGGAGTTTGCGTAGAGGGCCAGAATGCCAAACCCTGTCAAACATCTTTAAGATATCTTAAGCCACAGTCAAAGCTTCACTATCTAGAATCTGATAGACAAGTGATGGCTGTTAACACATTGGCGGTAGACCTAGCAAAATGGAAGTCATATTGTTTGTCCAAAAGTTGGTCATGTAATGTAAGATACTTAGCCAATTCAGCATTAGAGCCTTGGGTACTTTGCTGAAAAGAGATAAGAGACTAATAGGGTGATAATTTGAGAGGTCAGAAGGTTTTACAGAGTTCTTAAAAACAGGAACTTCAGAGGGTGAGTTCTAACAAGCTTGAAAGCAGGAAGCAGCGCGTCATTTGTTGTAAAGTTTGAAGAGAATAAGATCCAGCTCAAGAGCACATTTCTTTAGGATGACAGTAGAGATCCAATCCCATTTGCTTGCTTTATAAGAATCTAACTCTGAGATGATGTCTGAAACCAGTGCCAGGTTTATTCTATCACTCAGTAGCCTCTGCTATAGGAGGAAAATTTGGCAGAGGTACTCCATATGAATCAAAGGTAGAGTTGAAAGAGAACTTTCTAGCAAAGCACTCTACTTTATCTGCAGTAGATATCAAAACTTCAAACTGATTGAAGAGAGGAGAGGCTGAGGATTTGCTATTGTTCAACACACTCTTACAGAGCCATCAGTAATCTCTATCCAAATTTGCGAGAGGCTATATGGTGTTTCGTTTTTTCAGCAAACAGTAACTTCACTTCTTTGAGAACATGCTTGCAGTAATTATGAACAATGACAAGGCAATGTCTGTTACAATCAGACCTGTCACTCTGGTATTCGTGTGGGCTATAATAATTGGGCAGGCAGGTGAGAACATAGATGATTGTGGTTTCACTTGGTATTTCCTTGCTGAAACAAGAGCTTTGATGCCGGCTTTCACCCAGGAAGGGACCCCAGTAGCACATTTATGAACAGGATAATTAAAAATATCAATCCAAGGGACAAAGTGAAGGAAGTCACGGAATGAGTCCCAATCAGTGTGTTAACAAAGATTCTGTTAATAGGAAGTTTGTGATTGATGGAAAAGTGGAAGGAGATATCTGCAGACATCATGACATGATCAGTGTTGAAAAAAAAAATAGTCAGTGGGTGCACCACATTATAACATAATGAATGAATGAATGAATAAAAAACATCCTAACTTAACTTTTGGTGGTGGTAGAACAACATTCATACAAGAAGCAATAATAAACAAGACATTGTTATGGTTTTAAAACACAGTAATTAATCTATTTATTCAGCATGGCTCTCTAACAACTGAAGAAAAAGGAGGGAAGATTAACAAAAAGAAAAGGTCCATGCACCCTCTACAACTTGAAAAACAAATGTCTAAGGGAGATAACTATTCCCTTACTTATTAATTTTGTTTTTTAAATATTATCTACAAAGAGTGCAATTTTCAACACAGAGTTGCCAAAATGACAGAGCTGCAGGGCAGGACATGAGACTTTAGCGCAGAGTTCGACCAAAGGCACGTCTCGATCTACGATGCTTTCAATGTCATAAAGTAGGTCATATTGCCTCTAAGTGCCCAGGAAATGGAATGGGGACGCGACGTCAGCGCCCGGTCTCTGAAAACAATGACCGAGCATGAAAGTGGCGCTCCCTGTGATTAAAACAAACGATCAATGGAATAACATGCGTGCCCGCTTTTAATAGATTCGTGCTGCTCTCGGTTACTCACCAACGGTTCGATCTGCCGACAGTGGAGCAGACAAAAGATGGACGTACTAACGGCTGATGGAAAGGCTCTCAGAAGCCGGGGAGTTGGAAACATCACTCAGTATTAACAATGATGACCCTGTCACAGTCAGTGTGTTGGTCGTGGACAGCGCGTTATTAGGTTTCGATCTGCTCCTTGGGATGGACATTATTAAGGACCTGGACGGGGGATCACTCGGCTCGTCCATCGATGAAGAGCGCGGCCAGCCACGAGAACTGATGCGAATTGCAGGACTCAGTGAACATCGACAATAAGGAAGAGATTAAGAAGAGAAACCTGTCTGTAAGGATTACTGAGGAAACACAGGGAAGTCGACTACTAGATTGAGAGCCTGAGTGATAGAGAAGTTCAAGGTCTGGATTCTAGTGCGGTCCGTGACAGTCATTAAGCAGAACACAAAGATATATAAATGGGTGTCAAGATTGAGGGTCTGATCTGTACTATCAAAAATACTATCTAGCATGCAACAGTCATGAGAGGAAAGGGAACAATCGAGAAAGAAGAGATAGTTGACGGAGTTTAGTAGAGAAAGTCAGAGGCACGTGTAAGAATGACCTAGAGATTCTAGATAGAATTCTATAGCCAGTGGGAGATGTTCCCAAACATAAACACCAAAGCTGTGTATGTGGAAAACTAGAGACCTTCCTAAAGAGAGGAAAATAACCAGAAACCAAGAATTCAGAGGAAGGGATTGAAGAATTAAGATTAGTTTTGCAGCAAACTAGGATGTTCAGAGAGTGTTCCAAGAGGAACGATTCCACACTGCAGAATTTGGTATGAATACCAGGAAGTTTGTAGAAAGAAAGGTTTAGGTGTTTTTAGTTGGGATAGTTTAGTTGTATTTTGTTGGTTGCTTATTTTGTTGTCATGGTGTGATATTTAGAGTAAGAAACAGCCAAGAATAATAGTAGCTGTTGGTCATCTAAGGTAATACATGCTGGCTGGAAATTGGTGCAGACCGCAGCATAGTGTGGCCTCTGGGTTGTCCACTAAAAGTGCTTGCGGGGAGAGCATTCCATGCAAAACATGACAGTACAAGAACCTCAGTATT